CTCTCTCTCTCTCTCTCTCTCTCTCTCTCTCTCTCTCTCTCTCTCTCTCTCTCTCTCTCTCTCTCTCTCTCTCTCTCCCTCCCTCCCTCTCTCCCCCCTTGCCCCTTCGGCGGCGCCCCACCTACCCACCTAACACCACACACACATGCAACACGCCTCTTCATACTCAGAACACACATTGAAATCTATATACCCATGAACCAAAAGAAAGATGGAGGGCAAATTGAATAAAGACGGGGACAGGCCAGAGCCATAATACCCTGTTTCAGAAAAGAAAGCAAAAAGGAAAGGGGGATAGGCCAGAAATACTAGGCAACTCTCCTTCGAGACATCCGTTAAAATTGGAACGATACAGAGAAGATTGGCATGGCACCTGCACAAGGATGACATGCATGAATCGAGAAATGGTCCACATTTCAACAAAAAGAACAAAAAAACTAGGAAACTAGTAGGATGAACATACGGGCCAAAGGTGTTGCCTTTGGCCAAAAAAGAATCATTCTAGGCAAAACATCAACCTACACAATGTGCAGTCATGTCTTATCATAAGGGAGCAAGTTAAGTCCCTCACTGTGGAATGCATAAAGGGGGATCCATTGAGTCGTATACCAGGTTGGCAGACACAGCAGAACAGGCTGGCAAGGAGGTACGTACACAGATAAAAAGACGGAACACTGTAGAACACATAGACAGATATAAACAGTAGGAGACAGACAGACTCGCAGAGAGAGACAGATAACCCATCACACAGCGATCAACAGATATGAAAAGTGAAACTGGCAGAGAGAGAGACACACACACATGTAAACGCACACACACACGCCTTGGGGAAAGACGGTATAAAGAAGGGAACCGAAAAACCGACCGACTGACAGATGGGTGCACGACAGACTGGCAAGCCAACAGATTGTCCCACTGACTGACAGACTGATAGACTGAGAATGCAGAGAGAAAGCAGCAAGACTATAGAGCAGTATAGACCAACAGCAGCAGACAGAGCGACTAAATGAAACAGAGACATAAACAGAGACAAACAGAGACAAACAGAGACAATCAACTAAATGAAACAGACTTAACAGAGACATAAACTGAGACAAACAGAGACAATCGACTAAATGAAACAGAGACAAACAGAGACAAACAGAGACATGAACAGAGGCAAACAGAGACATAAACAGAGGCAAACAGAGACATAAACAGAGGCAGACAGAAACAATCAGAGACATAAACAGAGGTAAACAGAGATAAACAGAGACAATCGACTAAATGAAACAGAGAAACAGAGACAAACACAGACAAACAGAGACAAACAGAGACAAACAGAGACAAACAGAGACAAACAGAGACAAACAGAGACAAACAGAGACAAACAGAGACAAACAGAGACATAAACAGAGACAAACAGAGACAAACAGAGACAAACAGAGACAAACAGAGACAAACAGAGACATAAAAAGAGACAAACAGAGACAAACAGAGACAAACAGAGACATAAACAGAGACATAAACAGAGACATAAACAGAGACATAAACAGAGACATAAACAGAGACATAAACAGAGGCAGACAGAGACAAACAGAGACATAAACAGAGGTAAACAGAGACAAACAGAGAAATGGAGACAAATGGAGGCAAACGGAGACAAACGGAGACAAACGGAGACAAACGGAGACGAACGGAGACGAACGGAGACGAACGGAGACGAACGGAGACAAAACGGAGACAAAACGGAGACAAAACGGAGACAAACCAGGGCAGTCAGAGATAAACCGAGACAAACAGCGACATAAACAGAGGTAAACAGATACAAACGGAGGCAAATGGAGACAAACAGTGACAAGTGGAGATAAACAGTGACAAGTGGAGACGAACAGTGACAAGTGGAGACGAACAGTGACAAGTGGAGACAAACTGAGACAAACTGAGGCATACAGAGACAAACAGAGACAAACGGAGACAAACCGGGGCAGACAGAGATAAACGGAGACAAACGAAGACGAACAACGAAAAACGGAGACAGACGGACAGAGGAACCCAAAGACCTGGCCGACAGAACGAGAAATGTCAAGGGACAGAAGACAGGGAGACTCAGACTGACAGGCATACTGATAAACAAGCAAGCAGACAGACTGACTAACAGACCTCCATACATGCGCATCCAGACTGACAGGGAGACAGACTGACAGATGTAAGTACAGGCAGGCAAAGCGACAGACTGACTGACGGATAGGCAACCAGGCAGACTGACTGACGGATAGACGACCAGGCAGACTGACCGACAACTATACAGACATAGAGATAAACAGACAAGGCGATAAGGAGACGGGAAGATCATACAGATGGACACACAAGCAGATTGATTTTAATAGAATGTGAAAAACTGAGATTGAGACACTGACACAGACAGAAGATGGCGGCCAGAATATGGCAGACAGATTGAGACACTGACAAACGGATCAGTCTGGGCGTGTCAGTCGTAAGACGAGACAGGCCTATGATCCCAGCAGAGCCAGAAGAAGACACAGGTTGGATGGTTAACAGACAGACAAGCCAACATAGACTACACTGCCTCCTGCGATTCACCATGAGCGGAGATGCTGCCAAAAAGCACTTGTTTTATCTTCTTTTTTTTTAATTGTTTAAATTGTTTTATCTAACCCCAAGCTCAGAAGAAAAAAAGCTAGGGACCTTTACCAAATGCCTTCAGCCTTCAACATGATTATGTTTTGACTGCCAACATTCGAGACTTTTGTTAACCATCCGTTGTCCGTTCACGAGTAGTGAGACCAGAAGCCCGGGGTGGTGGGACCCATTTGGGCTCAGGACGCTATTTGAGTGGGTGAGCCCATTTGCACCAAGAAGGCTATTTGAGTAGCAGACCCATTTCTGCAGTGGGCCCGTCTGGGCCCAGGATACTATTTGAGCAGTAGGCCCATTTTTTGGGCCCAGAAGGCTATTTTTGATCGGCGGGCCCATTTGGCCCACGAAAAAAGGCTATTTGACCGGGATGGATGCCTAGTCAAGGGGGACGAAAATTTGTTACGGAGATTGGACAACTATCATTTTTTTTTTGATCAGACTTTTGTTCTTGAACCGCCACTACCTTTCTCATATGCGGGCCGCGGGGTGGGTCCCACTCATTTCAGAGGAGGCTGGTAGCCGCTGATGAAAAATATCAGTGGCCGCGCGGCGGCGATTTTTTCGGATGAGGTCAGTTTCCCAAATCGGACTACACTGCGAAAGGTAGTGGTGGTTTAAAATATTGATATAATGTATCAAGTTTCTATTAACAATAAGAGCTTTACAAGATAAATCCCCTTCTTCACAGTCTACAGCAAGTGTTTTTTTTTTTGTTTTTTTTTTTTTTTTAATTTATTTGGACCATTTCTCGATTTATGTGTGTCATCCTTGCGCAGGGGCCATGCTGCTATTCTTCTCTGTATCGCGTTTTCCTCAAAAAGAAATCGGGGCTCCACAGCAAAAGAGGACCTAGCTCAGTTGGTACCCCATCAACTATTGAAATGCAGACGACTCGAGCTCGAGTCCAGATGCAATCAGATGAACAGAGCAAGACAATTCTGAATTACCTGGGGCAGGTCAGTTCAAGGATGAGATATCAAGGCCGTCGCCCTTGTAAAAAAGAGGAGGTGTTATTTTTTCATTTTTTCAAAGAGTTTGGCAAAGAATTGAGAAGAGCCACCCACAAGTGGCTGAGCGCTATAGGGGGGACCCACTTCATTTGTTCCCTAAACCGACCGCCCCAAACACCCTACTCTTCTGGCACATATTTCGTTCGGGCATTCCGTGCAGAAGCAGCCCGACTCAGCCATTCGATTTGTAGTGCCTCTGAGATGACGGCACTTGTGCAGCTACATGTCCAAAAAAAAGACACATGAAATTTGTGAGGCCTCGGGAGCCTCACGAAGAATTGTTACGGCAAAGACGGGGCACTTAATTTGATTTGAACTTTTTCCCCAGATCGTCTGTGGAGCACATGCCTGTACTACCCCCCTGCACATAGCACCCACCGGCGCAGTGCTACCTGCTGGGCATAGCACGCATGCTGCATAGTACCTGCCGCACATAGCACAGACCCTGCATTGTACCTGCTGCACATAGCACAGAACCTGCAGAGTACTACCCGCAGCACATAGCACACAGCCCTTATAGTACTACCCACTGCACATAGCATGCCGGACGCACAGTACTACCCCCGCTGAACCATAGCACCCAGCCTGCATAGTACCGCCTTCTGCACATAGTACCACCACCAAGCATATAGCTGTATTCATTGTGCACGCATGGCACTGCCGTCTTCACCTGGATAGAGTGCCAGGTCATCATTATAGGCATATCTTTTGAGGCAACTTCCAGTCTAAATACAGCTATAATTACAAGGCGTTCTATTCAGGGGAAGACGGCAATCCCTGCACACAGCACACACCTGCCATTGTACCACCCCCTGCACATAGCATGCACCCTGCATAGTATACTACCTGCTGCACATAGCACCCAGCCTGCATAGTACCGCCTACTCCACATAGCACTCAGCCTAGGTAGTGCTGCCCACCGCAAATCACTCCTGGCCCACGTAGTGCTCCGCACAACCAATAGCACCCAGCTCACATAGTATTCTGACTGCAGGGAGAACCTAGCATATATAGCACCACAGACTGCACCCAGCCCCAGGTAGTACCGCCCACTGCACAGGGCACC